ATTTTACCAACAATAGTGATTTTCCAAGTGTAGCTTAGATGTGGCACAAGGCCGAAAGTATGGGGTACCTAGTGAGGATTGAACTCATTTTTCAGTCGTAAGTGATCTAGTGAGACAAGCTTGCTAACCATTACAACATGCTGGGGTGCCAACAACATATTTTTAAAGCATCATGATTTGCAATGCATTTTATCTCTAGTTCTAGGTTCTCTCCCCGTGGTCTGCCACGCCTGATTTTTCTACTTCCCCTTGTGTTACAGCTTTCTGGTGTTCTTGAAGCCTTACCTTGAGTGGGTGGCCTGTCTCTCCTTTATATTCCTTTCCGCAGCTGCATGGGATAGTGTACACACAGTCTTTAATCATGTTCTCCTCTATGGGGGGGTCTTACTTGGGAGAGATATCTGCGAAGTGTCGTCAAGATATCTTTCCCGAGTAAGACCCCCCCATAGAGAAGAACATGACTAAAGATTGTGAGAAGGGAGATCACTGCCCTCTGTGGGATCATGTTGAGATCATTGACAAGGAACACCACTGGAAAATTCGTAAACTTAAGGAATCAGCACACATGCTAGGCCCCCAAAATCTCCTGAGTCGACCAAGCATAGAAATAAATACAATATGGGAACCAGTAATAAGGAGTGCCAGAGAAAAGTAATGATAACAACAAAAGTTGCAATATGAGCTCTGGTAAAAACATGTGATGATAACAGCAAAAATTGCAATATGAGCACTGGTAAAAATGGTTGCTGATGACATTAGAGTAATACCCAGAAATTCATACCCACAAGGACACATGTCACAGTGGATAAAGGCGCTGGTTAGATCCAGTGACAGGAACCAAAGAGTGAGTTCACTACCTGGTTAAGGCAGTGGAGAACTTTCAGAGGAAAATTAACAGGAGATAACTGATAACTGACATCCATCAAAACATGGCACGTGGAACTAGAACAGTCTACCCTGGTGAGCGAAATAAAGGGTTCAGTTTGACATTCCAACCACCTGAAGAAGGTCGGAGTGTACAACGGCTGAAACGTTGTGACAAATATGGCAACAAAGATGAGGACAATAGTCCGAATAATGTTAGATTCCAGGATTAAATAACCCATATAGGTGTTGATATGCTGCTAAACCAAATCAACCAAAACTGCCAAAAGCTTCCTATATAGTACACAACCAATTGAAGTTGTTGATAATAAGCCAAAATTTTTCGACATTGTTTCTTCAGATCATTGCCCTTATCTTTGTTTTGTTTTTTCCATGTAGTTATCATTATTTTTGGTTTTACTTGAGGTTAAAATTTTTGATAATTTTCTGGAAATGTTTCTCTTGCCAAATTTCTACACTACCTCACCTCAGGATTGAACTCATGACTATCTGAGACTGCAAGATGAACATAAACCAGAGCCTTTTTCCTTTTCTTTCTGCAAAATAAGTAAATAAATGATTCGAAAAACGTTTTTCCCAAGTGCATGTCTCAATTTCTTCCTTTCTACATTGAGATAATGTATTCTAATGCCCAGACATTTTGAAATTTAACCAATTTCCAATCTCTTGTCGCCATTAATCTTCTATTTTAAAAAGAAGCTCACTTTCCAAAAACTGTTTCAACCTGATATTTAATCACTGCAATTTTATTGGAATTTGTTGAAATGGACAGCAAAACCAGACATGTGTCTTGCAGGCACTCTTGATTAATGTCATATCAGAAGTTTATATTTAAATTCCAAATCATTAAAACAAGGCATGATATACATCTATATTGAGTGGAACAGAAAAGTGGTAATAACATTTCTGCGAGAGGGAAACACAGTTTAATAAAAGTTTTATTTACTTGATATTTTCAGACATTTATTTAATATTCTTGGAAATTCTAACATGTATTGACAATTATTCACAAATTAACGAGTTACAACAAAAGTTTATAGCAATTTTCAGTAAGTGGCATTTGAACATGCCATTTTGTTCCACACGTGAACTAAATTTATGACATAAAACTGAGCAGATTTGAGGCTTCCGAGAAAATAATCCAAATGAAGGGAATGTGCATTCCTTAAAAAGGGAAACTAGAACTGCAGGTAATTGTGAAATTAGGGTATTAACTTTATTAGTAAAAGAGACCACTCAGGCTGAAAATGGGGTACTGTTGCCATATTTGGGCAGGAGCTGCCCAGACCTCACTTACCAGTCTTGATAGACTTCAAAAGCATCTCAATATATATATTGAGTGAAATAGGGCAGTAATATTTCAAACCAGTTTACCCATAGCGGGGGAGAAGAGATGGATTCATACCTTTCCCAAAGGTATTTGCAAATACACACACACACATATATATACATATTAATAAATAAATAAATTTATTTATTTTTTTTTGACAAAAGCTTTATTATATATATATATATATATATATATATATATATATATATATATATATATATATATATATATATATATATATATATATATATATATATATATGTAGATAGCAATTATCTATGTTGAGTCTGATTTGCAATCTCTTCGTCACTGCAGCCCATTAGAACAGTTGGTATGATGTTTGCTTGACAACCTAACTGTCAGGGTTTCAATTCTCGGTAGTGGATGCACACTGCTGATGAGTCCCAAATATAGGACGAAACGGCCGTCCATTACTTTCTGCATTCTGTTGAGGTTTCTATCAGACTCGATGAATTAATTAAATATATATATATATATATATGTATATGTATAATATTATATGAAAAGATTACTTAAAATTGAAATATCAATTTCATTCTGACATCAACGTTTCTTGGTAAATTTTCCAGTCTTCAGGGGTTGTGGTTTTAAAGAGTATTTACAAATTTGTTCAATTTGCTCCATGTCTTTTTCAATATGCTTTTTACTTCGTTTTGTACACGTGCAAATTCATGAATTTAACATTCTTTTACATGCACATGTTCATGAAATTTGGCTTTTGTTTACCTCTTCCAATTTTTTCTTCCAGTTGAAAATTTCTTTCTTCAAAATTAAATAAATTTTTTTTTTCTTCTGGTTTATATAGAGATTGTTATGTTATGTTATTTAATTAATTAAATTGTAATATTTTAGTTAATACTTTTAATTAATATTTTAATTGATTTATTATGTTATATTATTATTGTTGTAACCTTGCGAAGGTTACTGAATAGAATAATCGAAATGAAGGTTGGTAATGAGTGATAATACTTAGGACAAGAACAACACATATAAGATTTGCCAGTGGCACGTAGAATACCTGGTTATGGCAGTGGAGAACTTTCAGGGGGAAATTAACAAGAGATAACTATAACATGGCACATGGAACTAGAACAGTCTACCCCAGTGAGCAAAATAAAGGGTTAAGTTCGACATTCAAACCACCTGAAGAAGGCCGGAGCATACAACGGCTGAAACGTTGTAATAAATATGGTGTCAAAGATGGTATTTATCAATTCACCCACAGGAATTGAATGTGGCACAAGGCCTTTTTAATGTGGGTATGTCTGAGCCCGTAGGCCCAGCCAAAAATAAAACCCATCTAAACCCGTCCAAGCGGGCTAGTTCCGTCAACCTCCCTGAACGAAACCCCACCCTTCGGTGGAGATTCGATCGGGTTCCTCTCTGCAAGCAGAGAGTTCGACAGACACCCGACCCGGCAACTCACAAAGCGCAGATACTACACTTTGATCCTAGCCACCGGGCCGAGCGGGTATTCTTTTTATTGATATGGTGTCAAAGATGAGGACAATAGTCCGAATAATGTAAATAATGTATATAATACCTCATCTCAGAAATATAGACAGATACCAATGAAGTAAATATTTCTTTAATAAGATTTCTCAATTATTCATGCCAGTAGGTGAAAATAAATAAATATACTATTTAACAAATAAACAGAGTGCCTTCTCAAATATTTATCCACTAAATATAAAGTTTAAATAAATATATATATATTCAAGCCGGTTTGGTGAATAATTTAGAAGTATGATGTCTATTTATTTTAGTTTTAATCCTTTCCATTCCACAAATTAATTTCTTGATGGCTGTAGAAAATTGATTAAGAAAAATTCAAAAATTTTCTTTAAAATATTTTTTATTTTCTCAAGTACTTTCAATCTTCCTTGAGACCATCTTCAGGGGGTCAAATATCTGTGAATGCATACACAGTAGCTCTATAAATTTAAAATAATTTATTCACTGTTTGTTTACACTACAGTGTTTTAAATTCAAAATTTTTAATTATGCAAGGGAGATAACTTTTGTATTTTTTTTAAAAAGAAAAAGATTTTTAATTATAATATTTTAATTTAGTATTTTTATATAAAATTTTGCCGCTACAAAAGGACTTTGTTGCTAATTCATGAACTTGAAAGGATTAAAACTAAAATAGACATAATACATCTAAACAATTTCACCAAACCTGCTTGTATGAAAATATGCTGCCTATATATATATACTTTTGTTTTTTAAAAATAATAACAAAAATACTAAAGAACTTTGGATTATTTACCTAATGAGTTCTTTCCTATTTTCTATATATTTTCGCACATACACACACACACACACACACACATATATATATATATATATATATATATATATATATATATATATATATATATGAAATGAGAAACAAACAGGTGGAATAAAATTCTACTGTCCGTAGCATTTATGTTTAAAAAAGTGCTCAATACAACGTAGAGCAAAATATTATTATTATTTTATTATAAAAGATTATAATAAAAACATGCTGAAATCGCTACACAAAAGCTTTCATGTTTCAATACTTTGATTGTACTTCTTCAGGCTATGGTAAGTAACTGGTGATTAAATGCATTGTTAAAACAGATACATGCATACATATATATATATATATATATATATATATATATATATATATGGGGGGGGTAAAATTAGCAAGAAAGGCAAATAAGTGAAAAACAGGATGCATTCAAAATGTGTACAAGAGACCAATGGATAAAAGAGGATGATGTGAACTTACTAAGAGTTGCAGCAAAGGACAAGACTTTATCCTCCTGTAAAGTTTGTAACTGCATTTGCCTTTCAAATGCTGGATTCATTTCCCATATTTGATCATATGACAATCGACCCAGAATTCATAGCCGTATTGAAAACAATTAACCATGCCTGGTATCTGGTAAGACTGTCAAAAACACAGGCAATCTAAAATGTCACAAAAATCCATCAAGCTGCTAGCAACCAGATAGCAATTGTTACCCATAACAACAATTCTGCAAGTAATTTTACCTGTTCCATCTGTCAATTTATATGTAAATCTCTCTCAGGAATTAAAAGCCACCTTCCATGGCAGCTGAACAATAATTCATTATATGCCTGGAAACATGTATAGGCACAAAATAATACAAAAAGCAAAAAAGAGTCTTGATTGATATTGAGATGACTACTGCATATATATATATATATATATATATATATATATGGCAGACTTTATAAATAGACATCATACTTCTAAATTATTCACCAAACCGGCTTGAATATATATATTTATTTAAACTTTATATTTAGTGGATAAATATTTGAGAAGACACTCTGTTTATTTGTTAAATAGTATAGACCTTTATATATATATATATATATATATATATATATATATATATATATATAAATATTTATATAGAGATGATGGACTATTAATACTAAAAAATTGTAATAGTATAATGGTGGAGTAATGGATAGCGATTTAGATTGAGGAATCGGAGAGGCGAGTTCAAATTCCAGTCAAATCCATTACATTCACTTATGTGCTAATACCCTTGTTAAAGGTATGAATCCTCCTCTTCCCCCCAGCTATGGGTAAATAGCAGGACAGACCAAGTTCTATAGCCTTGGATGACAACTGGCCTACTGCAGAAAGTGATGGCAACCTTATGCGGGAAAAAATCTGCCTCCTCAGTCATGTATCCAAAGATTCATGATCGCCTAAGTGTGTATCCTGCATGGTGCATAACTGAATGAGTGGCAGAATGACAGACATAATCAGAGAAGAAATTAAACACATTCAAAAACGTTGGATTTACAATAGATATAAAATCCAACCAGAAAATAGTAAATTTCCAACATATAACCTTCAACTTAAACATGGAACCTAAAAATCATACAGAAAGTCAAATAACAATCCAATATATATTAACAAAAATTCCAACCACTTCCCTACAATATTTAAACAAATCCCCATATCTATAAACAAAAGACTTTCGACAAATTCTAGCAACATAAAAATACTCAATGAAAATATAAATTAAAAAATGCAAATCAGCCCTAAGAAACAGCAGATATTTAAACAAACTAGAATATAAAAAAGTAAACAATAGAAGCAAAAATAACAGAAAACAAATTATAATTTCATTCAATATACCCTATAACAATACAAAAATAAACAAAATATTCATCTAACTGATTGTCGATCATATCCCTAAAAACAGGAAATTATTAAAATCTATCAATAAAAATACAATCAAAATCATTTTCATTTGCTTTGATAATATGGAAAAAGTAATAACAAAGCTCAATAAAAATATATAGAATTATCTACCACTATAATGCACCTGATACATGACTGACCAATAAAAATCAAACTACGCAAAATTGAAAATACCAGAATTTCTGTCCCTTTTGGGGTTTTTTTTCTCAATCCCTGACAAAGTTTTAATAAAAGTGAAACACGTTACATTGATAAATGTTTCCTATTTGATATTTTATCTTTTTTTTTACAGTAAGATTCACTCTTTACAAGGACCGGGGACCACTCAAGGTAGAAGGTTACATTAGGAGGCCATTTGTGTGTATAGCAGTGGAAGATAATGTTTAACCCTAGCCTTGAACAGGCTAAGATTGTAATGTTTGGGGAAACATCCTGTTGGGAGCCAGTTGTACAGGACAGTGACTCATGGGAAGAAGTCACCTCAGTGGAACTTACTTCTCACAGGTGGAATACAGAGGGAATGTGAGCAGCTTGCTACAATGTAAGTGGCATGGCATATTCTTGCTGTGAAGGTTTGCCTTGGTAGGACCAGGGAAAGCAGTTCGTCTGAGCACTTTTCGTGGAAGCAGCAACAGTGCTGCAAGAGGCTTGCCATATCCTGCCTGTGGGAGAGAGGTTGAAGGGTGGAGAATAATTTGTCACCCACAAGGGAACAAAGATACTTTTGAATACTGTCAAGGTTGGAGAGTGAGTTCTGGGCAGCACCCACCCAAATATGACAACAGTACTCCATTTTGGGCCTGATCTGGCGCTTGTAAAGTTAGGGGATAGCAGGAGGAGTTAGGTACTTACTAGAGCAGTACAGAGAACCAACCATTTTACCTGTATCATTAGCAACAGATTGTATGTACAAGTTCCACTTGAGGTCAGGTGTGAGTTTGAGGCCTAACAGTCTTTCAAAGCATGGGGCTTCCCTGAGAGGAACTCCATTCATCCTGATTGGTGGTTGTTCAGGATCAGATCGGCAATGATGGAATGTAACTAACTTGGTCTTTGAAGCATTGAATGTAGCCACTCAGTTTTTACCCCATTGAGTAGTTTGTGAAAGATTGGAAGACCACACAAAAAACAAATAATGCACAAGTCATACATAGAAATAAATTCAACCACAATTTTGATTTTAAAAATTGCTACACTCATAAAAAAAAGAAAATAACTCACTCAGAATGAAAATCCTCAAGAGTGCTGCCATTGAATATTATCCAAATATTAATCTATGCCCAGGCTTTTTCCCAATATCACCTTTCCTAACAGAATTACTACTCTCCCAAACAAAAGTACACAACTGCATCAAGAAATCAAAAGAAAATGGTTGAATCTGTCAAAACAACAATAAAAACAATATTTCCATGTGTGATAGTACTTGACGTAATTTTCAGTTGACAATATGAATACAATAGCATTTTCTAAATTCTTCTAGTTGCTAAGGACATTTTGTTTTGTTGTTAATAGTTACTTTTTTTAATAAATTCATTTCATTTTAGCCTTGAAAAAGTTTACATTGGATGAAACGCATCGGCTAATATTACAGTTTTCCTATTGTCTTTTACCTTTATACATAAAGATTTATGCTTATGCTTCTTACTGATAGCATCATTATCTAGACATCCTTCTCTCTTGGGTGGTGTACTGAATGGGTAAATATGCAGTTATATATAAGAAATGAGCAAGACTGTATCACCAAAACACTTTGCTGTTGTGGGCTTCTGCAGAAAGTTCTAAATAACATGTGGTGCTGCTCTTGAAGCCACTCAACAAAGTAATAGTGGCTGATTCAAAAAAGTGCCAGACCATGCAGAGTTCTGGATTAAAGAGAGTCTAACTGTAGTATTAAAAAACACATTGACTCTAAAAAGTAATGATTATTAATTCTCATGAAAAAAAAATTCTTAAAAACCTTGAGCAAAAGATGGGTCAGCAATGAGACATAGTTTAGTGCAGCACTTACCATCAGGGAAAATATAATCAACACTTCTTTTTCATTTATGTGCCGTGTCCCTTCAGGACATAGGCAGTTATAGCCCTCCACGCTTTCCTGTACCTTGTAGCTCTTAATAAGTTTTGTCTTTTTTGTTATTTCTCCTAAACATTGTTCTGCCATTTGCTCAAACCCATCAAGTATGTCATACGCTACTTTCCTCTGTCTTTGTTTTCCTCAATCTGTCCTTTGAGTATCAGATTTTCCAAGTCCTCCTTCCTCATTACATGCCACAGAAATTTCAACTGCTTCTTCCTGATTTTAAGTATAAGTTTCCTCTTTTTTTCCATTCTCTCCAAAACCTTGTCGTTGCTTACATGTTCGGCCCATGATATCCTCAGCATCTTTGTGTAGAACAATATTTCTGATGCTTTAAGTCTCTTCTTCATTTTTGAGGAGATTGCCAGCATTCACTACCATACAGGAGGACAGATATCATGTAACAGTTCAGTACTCTTTTCTTTTTTTCTAACAAAATTTTTCTGTATCTTAATACTCTGCTTAGCTTTTGGAATGCATCTTTGGCCATCCCAATATGTCTTCGGATTCCAGTGCCGCATTTTCCATCCTCTGTGTTCTTTCCAGATATTTAAATTTCTGTACCTGCTTGATTTTAGTATCCCCAATTTGCAATTTTGGGCTTCTGCTTTTGCTGATAACAATGCATTCTGTCTTCTTGTAGTTTATACTTAGTCCTTTCTTCTCACTTTCCTTCAATACATTCTGTCGGAGGTTTTGTAAGTTCCTTTAAATGTCTGCTATAAGAACTGTAGTATCTGTATATCTTATATTGTTAAGATTGTGGCTGTCAATAATGAATTCTGGTAGGACTTCTAGTTCTCTCAGAATTACACACTAAGCGGTTCACTTTGCCTTTTTTTTAAAGAAAGGTATGAACCTACTTCTTCCAGTGTTTTGTCTCATTATTAGATATCTTAATAAAATGTTTGATAGAAAAATTTGAAATTTTTGCTGAGAGTTTTGGATTCATAATGTTTATTTCTTTTCCTCACTGGGTGCCCCAGAGTTTCAGTCTTGGGCTACATCTAAGCTATGCTTAGAAAACCACCATAACATTTATTTCTTTGTACCAGACAGTGAGCAGCTTTTCCTGCAAGAGATATTGTCACTCTAAAACATACCAAAATTATTCTTACTACTTCGGAACCTCTTACCTGCAAATAGAAAATGTTTCTTAATATTGTCCGGGCAAAGACAAGTCATGAAGTTAATGTATTGATTTCTGCTGTCTCTTGTATGGAAAAAATGAAACCAGTCTGCATGCTATCTCAAAATTATATTAACAATGCTAATGGTCTCTATAGAAAAAACTACAGGGAGGCAATATTCTAAAAATATGACGGAAAAATCTTTCAACACCTCTGGCCATTCTTGAATTAAAAATAATATCGTAATTATTGATATTTGTCAATAACCTCACATTTATTTGATGGCTATACGACAATTCCTTCTAACAATATGTGCGTGCATGGCTGAGAACGTTAGGTTTTTTTTATCATCTTTTTCACACTCCTCCCTAAAGAAGATATGATTAC